CGTTTTTTTTTTGTCTGTCTGTGTCTTGGTCTTGGTATGTGTCACTTATCATTTATTCTGTAGATTTTTCTTGACTCTTTTTTTTTTAATTTGTTAATATATTTGAAACTGAAATTATTTAATGTAAACAATTTTTTAAATACAGTTAAAGTAAAAACACAAGACCAATTATCAAAGATGCTTGCATTTTTGATAATTGGTCTTTTTGATTTTTGATAGAATAACTTGTATGGTGAAACAAAATGTAGATTCAAATTAAACTGATGGAACATTTAAAAATAAAATGTAAATGATAGGCATTTTATCTCATCCCACCAATACTTCAATTTTAACTGGCAAAATCCAATGCTCTGGCAGGTTGAATGTGTCACTTGCCTGGTCTATTATAACTTTCCTGTACAACCAACCCACTCTAAACCAGTCAGATCATTTGAATTTTGCTGGTTAAGACTTTAAAGTAGGCATTTTCTCTCCTTCTTCCTCTCTGTTATTTACGTGTTTCTTTTCTAAATGTTCCATTGGTTAACACCACAAAACAGTTTGTTTTTTGCATTTTTTCGTTTTTCTATTTATTGTCATATCATTGGATTGGATCCATGTTATAATGTTATGTCACTTTTCTTCTGACAAGTGAGTGAAGTTACAGAAACATTTTCAATGAAAATCTATGAAGAGAATTATCACTGAAAAAAATCAGGCCAATATAACATAAATTGAAACCATGTAAAAAAAATTCAAACTTCTGGGTTTTCTGTAAAATTTTGAACAATTTTACAGAAAACTCTAGATTTCCAATGTGGTTCAGGTGCAGGATACAATGATATAGTGTGTAGGTTGCATTAAAAAAATGAATGTAGATAATGGGGAATTTCCCATAAAATTTCCAAAACAAAAATTTTTTAAAGTCAACACTGTACATGGGGATACCCTAATTCAGATTTGCCTGGGGTCCCATGAATCTATAATGTGCCACTGCATGTGGGCAATTTGTCAAGGAGTGCCTCCTGGGAGAACTTTATGGAGAAACTGGTCCCTATTTGTACAAAGAAAGCCCAGAAAAGTTCACATGGCGAGCATTTGGGTGAGGTGTGAACCTATGATCAACTACCAGTGTTCAGTAGATGTTTGGTTTTAAATTCTTAGTACTTGAAATTGCACATTAATATACTTATTTGTGAATGCAGATCTAATAATATAAGTCATTGATCACATTGTTTGTATATCTGTAATCTGTAATGGAATGCCTAGAATGGCCACTAGGGACATTCCTAGCTATTATTTAAATTAACAATAAATTCAGTATTGTATTATTTTTATTTGTAATAGGAATTATTTATAGTTTGGAATGACACCGCTGCTGCTAGAATGTCCACTAAGGGTGTCCCATGCTACTAGTATGATAGAAAAGAAAGATTAAACTTTAGTAACTGAATTCAGGTCTTCAGAAATGGAGTTAAGTGAAAAGAACAGAATGTGATTAGATTGCTTTTAGTGAAAGTTTATATATATTATACACACAAGATTTATCTTTTGATTTTTCATTAAGAATAATCTCAATTTCAAATCATTGTTATGAAGAGGATTTTTTAAGTTTGCACACAACCAACTAAAAAAGACCGAGTATACTTATTATCTTGAAATCAAATTATTTTCACCAAATATTCATGTTCAAATTAAAAAACTTACATCAAAGGGATAATATGATGTAAAGGATTAATCTGTACAACAAAGACTCAGTATAAGAAGAAGTACAGAAAGTTTTTTTTTCCAGATACTGCTGTGAATACAGAATCTTATTTACAACTTAAAATATCATCATGACTTACATTTAGTCAAATTTTAAATTGAATTCAATATTTAAAATTGTTTATAAATAACAAAGTTAAATTTCTGTATAATGAATTTTTTTTTAATTTGTAAGGACCATCGATCATTAAAAGTCGATTAGTCCGAGTTGAGTTTGAATTTAGGTTCAATTTCAGGTATCAATCTATAAACCTTTTTGTAAAACCATGGCCCAGGCATAAAAAAAGTGGTCATTAGTGTTAAAAATCATTGTGTAATCTGCCTCTCCACATGGTTATCGGTTATAAAGAAAGGGGAGAGAGATTATCTGTCAACCACTGCATTTTGACCTAAACTATTTACAATTAACCAATGTCGAAAATGTTAGAAAGGTGATAATTTTGAGGACTAAAAAATTGACACATTTTGGTAAATAAAGTATTATTTTAATGTAATTTCTGTAAAACAAAATTTCCTTAAATGTTTTTTTTTTTTTTTTTTATTTGAAAACTAAATTTTCTTTATTTATTGTGGCTATTTAGTGACTTCGTTATATAGAACTTTGATTGTAAATAAAAAATATCTGCCAAATCATATGCTTGCTAAGCATGCAAAAATTTTTAAGTTTCTGTTGCCCACTTCACTATCATCCACTTGTCGTGTACCTCATCTATAAATGTACAGTAGAGTGTCGTTTATCCGAAAGTCGATCAACCGATGTCAGTTAACGAAAAGCATTCCATTCGGACTGTCGTGCTGAATCGAACACTTTTGATACTAGATTAACTTCTAAAGTATAATTTTTTTTGTTTTTATATTTTTCAATATATTTATTTTGTTTGTACAAAATAAAGAAATAATTTTTAACAATACCAATAGCCACTATTATTATTATTATTATAAAAATTTTTGTTAGTCTTAACATCAACGAAAATTCAACACGAGCGACATGCAACAGAGAAAAATTTCAGCGTAATATTATTGGGATATACTAATATAATAATTACACGGGATATTAATAATGTATTTTTTCATAATCGGTTATCTGAAAAATAAGTTATCCGAACAACCCCAGTCCCCAATTGATTCGGATAAACGATGCTCTACTGTATTACATTAAGGAGATTTTTGTTAGTTGAATTCCTCCTATGTTTCTTGGCACATTTGAATGAATTAGGTGTTGAAAGGTCTGTGGAAGTGCAATAAGTTTCTTTTCTGATGATCTCTTCCAGAGGTGTTGGTTCCAAAGTTATGAACTTTACCTATCATTTTATACAGGGAGTCAAACTTTTTGCAGGGTTGGGTTCACTGATGAACCGTCTGTAAATTTGTACTGTATATAGATCTGTCTGAAGTTAATTTTCTGCACTTTGTAAGTGTCCCCTGATCATTTTGTAATTTTTGTATTATTTATCATTGTATTTTTATACCAACATTGTACCTTATTTATTCTTTTCCTTTCTTAATTGTGTTATATTGGATTTATCACCCTGAATATGGTGTACAAAAAGAATTTTTATCCATTTTTGTAGTTGCTGTGGAAGAGTGAATATATTTCACCTATTCCAAACTACAAGTAATGGTTGATAGACAATAACTTGAAATGAAAATTGTAATTTAACTTTCTTTTTCTATTCAATGCCTTATCCCATAATGCTCACATTTACTTTTGTATAGCTGGATAAATAAGAATTAGGTCTTTATATGAAGTTCAATAAACTGTAGATTTTTATCTTATAAAATTCATGTTTTATAATCTAATAGCTTATTTATATTTTATAATACTATTTTTCTGAATTTGACATTGATAAATATTGTCATTAATCAATAAATTGTGGGTGAATTATGCATTTTAAAATAAATTTTAATTATTAAATCCTTTTTATTAAGGAGATTTCAGGATAAAAATGATGTAATTATTAAAATTATGAAGTTTCCTGCAAAGAAAAATGCACCAAATTTATCCAAAACCAGTAACACTTTAATAATATGAATATTTTTGTCCACTATTCACAAACATCATTAGGTATCTATTAATGAATACAAAACAGAACAACTTTAAGTAATCAAACACATTTAAATCCCAGATGATGATCGTATATAGTTGACAAAAATATTAGTATTATTATTAAATAGTTTTATTGATGTTGGGTATATATGGTGTGTTTTTCATTACATATAACCAGTTTTTGAAGAAGTGGAAGTGTTTTTTTTTTCCGTGAAATATTGTATTTACTCACATATGAGGTTTTTATTCATTTATCATAGCTTCAAATTCCTAGGTTGTCCTATACATGTGAGCGAAAGATTCCTTGCACTTTTGCAAATAATTTTTGTGAACTGTGTATTCGCATTTTTTACCAGATGCTTACCCTCTTGTATTTAAAACAATTATTTTATCTGGGTCATTTGAATCGTTCTTGTACATTGTCAGGAGTAAAGATGGATAGCAATAAGAAAAGAAAAACTTTTGAATTGAATTCCAGATTGAAATTCCAAAATCACACGGGAGCATGATGTAAGTTTTAATCCATTCCCACGTGAAAACACATGATTATTTGGAAATCAGAATTCGGAGAAACTCATAAGTGTAATTGAGAGAGAGTGGATTCGACTGTTAAGAATTGGCAAAAAAAAGTTCCTGATTGTCCAGCTTTACGTGAAGAAATTATGTTGTTGATTTTACAAGATTTTTCCTTAAAGTTTAAAATGCCAGTAATTTTTGCAGGACAACGTGTGCATTTACGTTCATTTTATATTTCACTTGTGATTAAATGAAATAAAATTAGAATTGTATTAATAAATCTAATTTTCTTTATTTTGATCTTTAAAGTCACACCTCGACCTATATGCGAGGTTGTCTTATATACAAGTAAATATGGTACTTTGAATTGTTGATACCTTATGTTGTAAGTAAGTCTGAAATGAGATATGCCAAACTAGAATTTAGTATGTGTTGTTTTCTTTAAAACACACATTTTAATGGAGAACAACATAGTACATATATAGTGCATGTATATAAATGTATATATAGATGTAAAATCAATAAAATTTTATTAGCTAAGCAATCTTATCAACTTAACACATCATAATATGAAATTCTATTGGCTTAACTGGTTACTGGTTGACAAATTATCAAAATTATATTTTATATTGAAATTGTAATAAGTTTTTATTACTGGATTTTGATTTTTTTTTATTTTAATTATTTACAGATATGATGCATCTTGTTTATAACCAAGAAAATGGAAATCCAGAGCTTTTTGACACCGAATTATTTAATTCAATGCCAACAACAGACACAAATCTTCTGAGTTCCTTTGATGAAGATTTAGATTTAGATCTCTTCAATAATATGGATAATATGGTGATGCAAATGCCTTCGGATACACAACTAAATCAACAGCCAACGTCGCCGTTACAAAAACTTCCTGTTAGTCCACAAAGAACTCAAATTTCAAGTCCTATAACCTCTTCTCAGCCGACAACTGTTATTCATATTTCACAGCCACAATCTCCAACACTATCTCATATTTCATCAATAACCCCTTCAGTCAATGCTAGTGCTGCCCAGCCTGCTTCTGTTAATCCCGTTCAGACTCAGCCAGTTTTAACTCAAACTCAACAGTCATCACCTATACAACGTGTAGTTGTACATCCATTTATGAGGACAGTTACTTCAAAACCAGAAACCCCTACAGTTACTACATCAGTTGTGTCCAATTCTGTTCCAACAGTGAATGATATTTTGGCTGTGATTAAAGAACAACAGAAACAACAATTGCTTCATCAGTTAAGTCAGTTGCCACCACAGAAAATGCAGCAGGTATTTAAAATCTTCATTTTGTAATATTTTTAACTAATCAACTCCTTTTTTACACTAAGAATCATTTATGATCAGATTAGAAAAAATTGCAGGTTTTTTTTACTTAGATTTTTACTTGCTAATCTAGTGTGGCCCTCTTGCTCAAGAGGGCCACACTAGATTAGCAAGCAATTAGCAGAATTATTGCTAGTGTGGCCACGCTAACAATAATTCTGGATTACTGAGTGTGTCTAGGGCTAAAGGCAATGAATGACCTGACCTATCACTCTTTAGTATTGATCCTTTTTGAAGGTGGGTGGGCAAATATGTCTTACTAACATGCTGTACTCTACATAGAAATAAAACCCGACAACTAACATTTTCACGAAAATGGGTTGTGAATAGGTGGTCACACTTGGGGGTATGCCAGATAATTGAGAGGCTGAATTATTAAGAGCCAGAGTACCAAGAGTTTACTGTATATGTAAGAAAATAATATAATAATGAGAAACATGCAGTCAAACCTTGATATAGTGTCCTCCTTATGAAGCACTAATGAATAATTGTAAACAGATTAAACAGATCTTTCTCATAAATATTAGATAGATAATTTTTTAGTATATGTGAATTACTAAATGTAAAATTTTTTATTGTAAATGGCATTGTTATTACTAAATTATTTGACTTTCAAACTACCAAATACAATCTTGTGTATATATCACATTACTATATGTATTGTTTGAACTACTTTGGTTTGGCAGCATACTTGATTTAGTAACAATTTCAGAGGTAACCAAATGGTGTTTCTAAGTCAAAGTTTGATTGTAACATTTCTTTGTAATATTTCATTTAACTAAAATTTAAATATTTCAATTAATTCAATAATTTCACACTTTAATTCTTCAGAAATTTATTAACTTCCGACACTAATGTTTATGGACATTTGACATAAAACACTTCTTTTTATGTCAAATGCTGTAGAATTAAGATGTGAAATTATTAACTGTAATAGAAACCAGTTAGGATTTGAGTGTCTAGTAAAGTTCTTATAAAAATATATAACAATAGAAAAACTATTTGATAAATCTGTTGTTATTTTTTTTATATTAGTTACTGTTACAAGCCCAGTTACTGAAAGAAACTGGAGGAAGAGTTGTGGCTTACACTGCTCCATTGCAAACTGTTAATACTACTATTCCTACAAATTCACCTGTGTCCACTGTTAATTCTCCTATTCAGACAGTTGTTACTACTCAGACAGGAGGAACAATTTTAACTACAGGAATTCCAATTGTTTTGGATGCAGATAAGCTTCCAATAAATAGGTATGTTTTAAAATGTTTTAATTTATTTATAATTGCATTTTTTAAATAGATTTTTCAGTTTTCTTTCTGCCTAAAATATTTCCTGAAAAACAACAATGACAATAAAAATAGCGAGAAAAAACTAAAAAAAATTTATTTTTTAAAAAAACAAATATATATGTTTTTCTATGATACAGTATATTTGCATAATTAGTTAGGTAAATCATATTTTTAAAATGAAAAAAATGGGCATTTATTGCTACATGAAATCATTTCTCTCAAAAATTCATTTTTAATTGCGGTGAAATAGTTAGATGCTTGTTTTTTAGAATTAATTTTTATAATTGATGAAATAATCATTATTTCAATAAATTTTACTCTCTTTTCACGTGCTTGCTCTTTTTCTCTCTTGCACACTTGCTCACATGTGTGCATGTGCAAGAGAGCTGCTCTCGCATGCTCTCTTTCTCTCCATATTTTCAGAGTAGAAGAGAATTTTTGTTTAAATTAAGCAGTGTATGTGAAATATTTTGCTAATGGGTCATTAATAAATAATGTTTCTTTTAATTTCCTTTTGTGTGCAATTACAGGATAACAACTTTAAAACCACCATCAAAAGGTGAAAAACGAAGTGCACATAATGCAATTGAACGAAGATATCGGAGCAGCATTAATGACAAAATAACTGAACTTAAAAATATGGTGGTTGGCACAGAAGCAAAAGTATGCTTTTTTTTTATTATTAGTTAAAATTTTATTGCATATAAAATATTAAATTTTAAGTATTTGTATATGTTATACTGGGTTGAAGTAACTCTATTCAATGTTGTCTTAAGAGATCTTTAGCAGTTCAGATGCACAATTCTTATGGGTTTTGGCCCTTAGGAAAATTGGCTGAAAGTTTGTTATAGTTCTTTACTAACTGATTAAATCTCAATGGGTTCAAAGCTTAAAAATAGCCAGGGTTCTTTGTTAGTGCTGTTTGAATATATGTGAGTTGTATGTACTGTAGAGGATGATAACAGGTCTCTCCCTGGCAGATTATTTCAAAGAGTAATAGGTCAGTCACTAGAGATAAAAATTATACACAATCTTTTAATTCATTCTGAAATATCAAGTAGGATTCCAGAAACACTGTCAGATATCATAAGAAAATGCTTTACTGCACAATAAATAAAGGGTAGAAGTGATTACTGTATAACATGAAGTGCAGAAGTGTAAGAATATAAGGTTAGGTTTACATTAGCAGTAATATGATTAGGTTAGCACTATATTAATGACAATTTGATATTTTCTATTAAATTGGATTTTTTTCATATTCATATCATTGCTAACTTAATTCCACATTTAACCACTTTTGCATTGCATTTGTGTTATGCAGTAATGCATATCTACCCCACGTGTTATGCAGTGAAGATTTAACTGTCACATTTTATGCCTGTTCTGTAATCCTACTTGTTATTTCAGAATACATTAAAAGATAATGCATATTTTCATCTCTAGTGATTTGATTGATCTGTTACTTCTTGAAATAATTTGCCAAGGAGAAACTACCATCTTATATATGCATTTTCCATATATATTGAAATGGCTCTAGCAAAAAATCCTAGCTATTTTCAAACTTTGTTCTCGTCAAGACTTTTTATTTAGTTAATCGAGAATAATCAAGCAGGAATGGGAAGTCTGCAGAAAAATACACTACTCCTGAGTAGGTATGTTTTAAAATCGACTTCAACTCTCCATCCATGTAATCAAGAACTATAATGTAGTAAAATTTCTGCCAATTTTATCATGGGTCAAAACCCACAAAACAAATTATCATTAATGTTTAGAATCATTTTGAATGATTTATTGAATATTAAATGGGAAAGAAGAGTATATAGTTCTATCAAATTATTCAAACCATTTTCATTCTAAAATTTCTTCAGTTATTAGATAGATGCTTTAAAAATAAACTTATAAATCTGAAATACAGTAGAACTATAATTTTTATCTGTGCTCTGATTAACTGAGGTTCTGCATTAGTCAAGGTGAAACTGTAAAAGTGAATACACTAGTTTTCTTAAACTGTAATTCATAAAATAATGTTTAAAATGATGATAGAAACAAATAATTTTGGAATACATTACCTTTTTATTATTTAATTTTAATGAGACAAAATAGCTGCGACCATCTGTTTTTTCCAAGTTTTCAGTTTATCGAGGTATCAACAGTCCACACTACCTCAGATAATTGGGTTTTACTGCATAAATATGAGATTTGTTGTTAGTAAATAAGCAATGTTTATGAAGGAATCAAATTTTTGAATAATGTAGATCTTACAAACTTTTTCAGTTAAACAAATCTGCTGTTTTAAGGAAAGCTATTGATTATATTAGATTTCTACAAAATTCCAATGCCAAATTAAAACAAGAAAATATGAGTTTAAAGATGGCTGCGCAAAAACAAAGTAAGTATTTCAATTGATTTTAAAATATAAACGATTTTCTATTTAAAATAACTGCAAAATGTAGTGTAATATATTGAAACATTTTTTAAAACCAGCATATAATTCATTTGTTTCAAATGTTTCTGGCCATGTTGAATGGACTTCTTCAGGCTTTTAAAACAATAATGTCTACAACAGAAAATGTCGGTGGCATTATTATATTGTATCATAACATTGAATATTAGAAGTGTGGTAAATCTGAAGCTGCTTAGTTTAACAGAATTTTTCGTATTTTAGATAAGTTTTAGTACACTTTTTAAATAGTTCTTTGCATTATTAAAGTTCAATAATTACTTAATAAAGTATAAATTTACTTACTTAAAACTTTTTATATAAAATTCAAAACTAATAATAATAATTTTACATTATAAAATAAGTCAAAATCCAAGATAAAATATTTCATTTGGATTTAGTAATTACTCAATTTTTAATATAAAACTTACTTGACATGTTTCTTGAAAGAGTTGATGTATATTTCTATGTAGACACACCTACTTTGTATTGTTGTGTGCATTAAACAAAAGTTTGGAGAAAGTGTTGGATACATTCCAGTATGCATCAAACATTACATAAGTGAACCACGATGTACTGAAATATATTCAGATATTCATTGAGTTCATAGGTGCAGCAACTGATTTGCTCATCAGTCTTTGGATGTGGTGAGCTCTGATGCAATATTGCTGCCTCATGATTATATTAACAATACAAATAATTAGTAAAAATGTTGTTAACTGAAAGTTATCTTGACAAAATAAGTCTGCAAATGCCAGTATAATGCTGTATTTCATCCATCCTGTTAGGTTGCCAGACGTTACAGTAAAAGCTTATTAAACTGCTCGCAAGCACATCAGTTGTGGCCAAGACTATTGCGTTGCTGGAATGTACCCATTATTTCTGCAATTTTATATTATAATAGTGTTTTAAATTTTTAGTTAGCTAACAGATTAAAAATTTGATTTTAATGAGAATTATTGATACTTTTTGTCAAATTTATATAAATTAAAAGTAATCTTAGTTATTAAAATAGAAATGTTATAAAATTTTCACAGAACTAGAAGACCTTCTTGAACAAAAAACTGTACCAAATACGACTAATTTGATGGATTTCACTCCACCAACATCTGATATTAGTTCACCCGAACGTAGTCCGGCAGAAAGCAATGGCGATTCTTGTGGATCCGAACCATCTTCTCCACAATATACGTCAACTAGCTCTTTACCGGGAACACAAACCTCTGATAAAAATTTTAATTTCTTTGTTAAAGAAGAAGAGAAGAACAGTTTTGTTACCAGTGGGATGCTGGATCGTTCAAGAATGGCTTTATTTATTTTTGTGTTTGCCATATTGGTATTCAATCCTTTTGGTTATCTTTTGCCTGGTGGTAATGATTTTGCTGGAGACAGTGAACTTCAAAGGACCGGACGGGTCATTTTATCTGCAAATAAACAAAGTGAAGGTAGAATCTTTTTCTTTTTAAAATTGTATTTGTATTAAACTAAGTATATTTAAATTACAACATAAAACAAAAATATAAATAAATTGATTGTGCTTTTTATTGATGATGATATGTTTTTATCTTGTTCTTCTACAGTTAAGTTTTTAAATATATGTTTGTTTATTTAAGTTTGCATGCAAATTATTCATTCTAATTTGAGTTTTGTTAAAATCTTGCCTACAGTATGTTGGAATTATAAATTCTGAAAATTTAAATATTATAGTTCTTACCATGATAAATTAGGTATTCCTATTATAATTTACATCATAAATCAGGTGTTACTAATGTGTTTATAATATTTCATTTGACTGTTCATGTTTAATAGAAATATCAGATGATGATTATATTGTCTGTATATCAACAATGGCCAAACTATAGCTCTTACTGACCTTACTGATTGTATAGTATATATATTATATATATATAAACTAACACTCTTTGGCTCATATTTCTGATAGGTGAAAATCACAAAGTTTGGCCAACCACAGTCTATATTTTTAAAGTTGTGACCAGTTATATCATTTGATGATCTGAAAATAGAATAAACTACAGTTGAGTGTGATTTTTTTTTTTTTTTTTTTTTTTTTTTAATAATTCAAACTTTCATTTAAAATTTAAAGGTTTATTATACATTTAAGAGTTGATTGAACGTTCAGATCTTTCAGTCGCAAGATTTTTATTTTTTTAATCTTAATACAGGTATACCTCGACTTACGTCGTTCCGAGTTATGTCGTTCCCGATTATGTGTCGTTTGTCAAAAAAGTATATGGAAAAATAAAAATCAAGTTTTGAGTCATTTTATTCGACTTTACGTCTGTCTGCCACAAATATTGAAGTTGTAATATCACTAGAAAAGCATTTAAAGCACATAAATCATTTTAAAATGTATACATTTACAAGTATGTATGAATGAATGTATTGTATTTACAGTATTTGCAAATGCATGTATTATATTTACACAAATTTGCAAATCATGCATTCGCATGATTCGCAAATTTGTGTAAATACAATACATAGTACAATATTAATATAGTACAGAAAAATGTAATTTAAATTTGTGAATCATGCATTTGCATGATTCGCAAATTTAGATTACATTTTTCTGTACTATATTAAAAACTAAAATTTATTTGTTTGTAAGCTTAAAATAGATCCTTATTAACCATATATTATTAAAAATGCATTACTAAATAAAATACAGAACCGGGAATGGTAATTTATGGTTTAGCCTAGTGACAAGTAGATTCAGAGACAAGTAAATTCGACTTAAGTCACCTCTCCTGGCCAATTACCTACTGGCCTCTCCTACCAATTACCGACATAAGGCGAGGTATACCTGTAAATACTTTTTTGTTATAATTATAAGTATTTTTCAATAATTGTTTTATTCGAGGAAAAATTATATACTACTTTACTAATAAAATCTATATTAACAGAAAATTTGTTACTATTTTTTCCCCCTATAGGATGGTACCATAATTATATGTTTGGTTTATTACCTTGGATCATGAATGCAATATTGGTTTTAATCTGTCTGACAAAGTTGTTCATTTATGGTGAGCCAATTATCAAATCTGGTTCAACTTCTTCAACAATGTTTTGGAGACACAGAAAACAAGCAGACTTAGATTTGGCAAAAGTATGATATTTATTTATTTATAATTATTTAACGTTATACATTACATTACTTCCTCAATGAAATAACACACCCATAAAAACAAATATCAAATGATCGTTATTCATTTTCATTATTTAAAAGTTAATATAATAACAATAATAATTATTATTAAAGATAACAAAATTGTAATTTTAATCGTAGAATTGTTTTATAACCAACCTCTTATTATATTGAAATTATTATTTAGTATTATTTCACTTCTTTCCATTTTCCTTTCAAGTTTAATTAAAGTATTTAAGTTAATTAATGTGATTTATTAAAATTGAAATAATATTAAAGAAGTTGCTGTTTTTCTTTCAATTTTACAGAGACTACTGTACATACATATTTAATTAGACATACATCAGACTGGTGAGTGTCAGATTATTGAATTTTGTATGTACTGTATGATAAAAAAATGCATTTCATTTCAGAGGTTAGTCTATGGTATTATGAGTAATTGTGATTGTGACTGTTTTGCCAACTGCACGTGCAACAAATAACTAGTGGCTGACAATATACACATACATCAGTCTCTGTCATATACATCAAGTAACACACAAATTTCATTTGTTCCATATGTGGTAGTGTCAGATTACTGACACTACCACATATGGAACAATGGACTGGACTGCAGAGTGACAAATTATCAAAACTCTACAGTATCTATTTTTATGTAACATTGTGGGTTTCATCACCCTATGCTGGACTTGTTACAAAAGGCACTCTTACTACCCAGAGATTGGAAAGAGAGAAAATAAATTTATTATGATTACCTTATTCTTAATTATAAATCATTAATTTTAATAACAAGCTGTGGTAATTGTAAAAAGTTTTTAATAAAATTTCCTAAATTCTTAATTCTAAAATAAGGATATTTGTTTTATTTCTTAATTATAGGTTTGCTATATTCTTTATGCGTTTTTAACTAAATAATCCTGTATTTATTTGGTGTAGTATTCTGTTCAGCAAGTAAAATATCCAAAGGTTAAAACATACAATTTATTAAATTCTTTATTCTACATGTGAGTTTTGAGTCAACGTGAACGCTATATTTTTCTTCATTACAATTTTTTATTACAAAAAAATTATGAATACAAAACAACTTAATGACAACTTATAAATACGTACAAATTGTAAGTTGTCATTAAGTTGGTTTGAATTTATAATTTTTTTGTAATAAAAAATTGTAATGAAGAAAAATATAGCGTTCACGTTGACTCAAAACTCACATGTAGAATAAAGAATTTAATAAATTGTATGTTTTAACCTTTGGAGATTTTACTTGCTGAACAGAATACTACACCGAATGAATACAGGATTATTTAGTTAAAAAAACACATTTATTTTATCTTGAATTTCATACAAATAGTTATACTAAAGTCTTTTAGAAGATTAAGTTTTGTTATGAAAAATTACAAAATTATATTATTATTGCTTGTAATGCTATTTTTAATATACCACTCACCAAATAAACCATCACCAGTTCATAACAAAACAGAAAAATTCTTACTCTGAACATTTTTATGTGAAATAGACATCTTCAGGTATTAACGATATAGAACAAACGGCTTGTAAAATAGAATGTTTTTTAAAAGTTTAAATTAATTACGTAATTCGAATACATTGTGTTAAAATTTAAACATGTGTAAAATATTCAAAGCATATCTGAATAAATAACCAATTAATTTCACGTAAGTTATGACATAAATATCATCCATAATTTAAATTATTCTTAATGTGAGTTTCTGTCATTGGATATCACCATCAAAATGGAACATGGTCATCTTTCCACCTGTGTTTTTCATAAGGAGTCATATACACCTCTATTTATACCTAACCATTCACATGACCCTTATTGTTACAAAGTCTCTGCTTTTTGATCTTTGGTAAAAAAAGGGCTCTCACATGTTGTTCGGAGCAAAATGAAAAGGAAAACAAATTGTCGTGAATCAAGGCCCTTGCAATACAACATGGATACCTGTCCTCTTTGGTCAAGCATCTCATAAGATAATATAAATAAAAGGGAGAGGACTATTCTGCAAGATGAATGAATGAGGGTTATCACATACAATGAAACACTTTCTCATATATATATATATATATATATGTATGTATAAATTGCAAGGACCACTAAAGTACACTTAACATATCTATTCTCTCCAACAGTCTTCTCTCCTCATCAGAAATGATAAAAACTGTATAGATGATGCATACTCTCCAGGGGTTTATGTGGTACCTCTTCACGATGACCAAGTTAACCGCTCATTAACATACATTGGAGCAACGGCCAGCGGTCTTGCCATGAAAATGAAAGAAAATGAATACTCCATAAGAAAAAAGCTGACTACTGTGGCGTTAGCAACATATGCGAGTAATGAGGAAATTCAGGTTGAACTACATAATGCTAAATTGTTATAGTATTGGAGAAGGCACAACTCAAGTATCAAGTACCTTGAATTGCTTGAGATCTATCGAGCAATTAAACAAGGAATTGCTATTAACTTTAAGGAAATGGACATGCTTTCCACAGCATGGCATGCCATTTTTGAAGTAGATTCTGACAGAAACTCGTATTAAGGATAATTTAAATTACGGAAGATATTTACATCATAATTTACGTGAAATTAATTGGTTATTTATTCAGATATGTTTAAATTTTAACGCAATGTATTCAAATTACGTAATTAATTTGAACTTTTAAAAAACATTCTATTTTATGAGCTGTTTGTTCGATATCGTTAATACCTGAAGATATCTATTTCACATAGACAAAAATGCTTGTAGTAAGAATTTTTCTCTTTTGTTATGAACTGGTGATGGTTTATTTGGTGAGTGTTATATTAACAATTACCCAGTTTTTAAAATATAATAATGCTATTTTTGTGGAATATAATAAATACTAGGAACGATTAATCGGAATCAAAAATCAGAAAAATTGGACGTTTTCTTGGAATCTTTGCACAATTTCCAATTCTTAAAATGATTCTTCCACATTTCATAGGAAAATTAGAAAGTAAAAATTTAGAAAGTATTCAAAAGAATCTGAATTGGGAGTTTTCGGTGAAATCTGGAGAAATTTTGGTATAATTCCATCACTAATAAGTACGTGAAGTTTTGCTAATTTTTAATGAATATTTGTAATTTTAGGGTGATCATAATGGTGCAGTTTGTCAACTGAAACTCTGTCTCAGAGCACTTGGTCGACCTTTTCCAACTGGACACATTGACTTGATTTCTGGAATATTTTGGCATTTGATAAGACAGATTCTTCATAAATTATGGATTGGTTACTTTCTTGGAACTAGAGCAGGTGGTCTGAAAGTTCCACAGAAATATCGCGACGAAAGTATGAAAGATGCAGCCTTAGTTTATCACAAATTAAATCAGCTTCATTTGCTAGGTGAGTATTTTATGATTTTCAACATTTTTGGAGATATGTTCTGATAGGTTTCACCGATTTAAGAATTGATTGAGTCCAGTTTACTATGTAAATCAGATTGTTGTTGAAAAGTAAATCAAACAAAAAAAATTAAGATATTTTTGTGGTTACTGATATGTATATGGAAATATCAGATCAAAAATTTAAATTTGTGTAATTGATTGCACAATTCTATATTTTCTACATAAATTTTATATTTATGCTTTTTAAACTCATTTTTAATACAGAAATTACAAACTATAATTTAGAATATTTGAAACGTTTGTTTGAAATGTTCTGTATTGTTTCCGTAGTATTTGATTCAGGATAACATTAATAACAAGCATGTATGAGAGAAACTGAAGTAAATATCTTAAAATGATAATGAAAATTTGCATAATTAAACTTATGTACAAACTGGAATTTTATTTTAAAAGTTATTGTATACAGTACATATTATAATCTAGCTTGATATATGGAAGCATGATGATTCCATATATTATAAAGCTTGATAATCTAGCTTTATAATAATGGAAAAATATTATATATTATATATGGATAAATGTAAGTTTTAATATGAGTTATTATATTTAAACTTTAATAAATTTACATGAGAAATTTTTGTGTGTTCAGTGTAAATCAGAATCAGACAATTCTGAATTATTATTTTTTTATTTTGACAGATTTCTGTTTTGAACAGAATTTAATATTTTGTTTTGTATCTTCTATATCAGATAAATGTCACACACTCATTTTTTTTATATATTAAAATCACTTACATATATGAAAACATTTTATTTCTAGGCTTAATTAAAATGATTCAACTGAAAATGGGAGTATTCAGCTTCAAGAACTAAGGCTGAGACTCCTCTAGCGTAAAAACCTTTGCTGTAAATACTTTTAATCACGTGACCATGATATTTTACACCAGAGCAGGTCGTAAAATGAACATAGAGTTGAGCAGTGTTCAACTTTCGATGTGAATATGTCTGTAAAACAGTACCATCAAGAATCAGAACCAACATCAGAAGTTGGTAGTCTACATCATTACGACGTGAGAAAATGACAGAAAATAAGCTTTTATGTATATTTTCTTATGGTTACTTGGAAAAGATCTAAAATATATCTGGAAAGATTTATCAAAAACATCTGAAAGTATTCATGTATCTATGACAAGAGGTATCCTGATTATAATAATGGATGTCTTAAACACGCTATATGGATGGCCAAAGGAAAATCCTTTAATTTAGATGAGTATATAATAAGAAAGCTAAGCATATAAGTGCAGTATAATATCTCAAAAATATGATGATAAAAGTTAATATATGAAAGTAATGATGTTATTTTTACTATATTTGTAATTATAGTATGGAAAAACTTGTAGAATATAATCATTGTCTTTATATCGCTATATCACGCATACAACTGTAACTTTGAAAGTACCGTCAAAGTAAAATCTTTGCTAGTGGAACCAGTCCTCCACTGCAATCCAAACACAAATAGGTCACATGATTAAAAGTATTTATGGCAAGGGTTTTTATGCTAGTGGAGTCTTGGCCTAACATATTTGATCGGGGNCTCCACTGCAATCCAAACACAAATAGGTCACATGATTAAAAGTATTTATGGCAAGGATTTTTATGCTAGTGGAGTCTTGGCCTAACATATTTGATCGGAGAAGTTCTCATTGTTTTAAAGAACTTGTGTTAGAAATTTGAATGCTGCCCATGTGAGCTTGTGACAGTGAATGACACAAAGTATAATAATCTGTACTACTTAGTTACTAACTACTCTATAGAAGAAAAATTGGCAGCACTATATTACCTTACTCATTATTTTCAATAAATAAATTCATTGTTTTAGAGAACTCTATTCTTGGAAACTCATTTGATTTTTAAGTGTTTGGTTTTGTCCCTGGTTAATTACAATAAAAATTTTTGTTAAAAAATTGTGTGTGTATACATTGTTATATATGTACATCATACATAGAAGAATAATTGAAAAGATTTTTGTCCCCTTCTGTCATGTGATCTTAGTTTCTCTGACAAGGTTCAGAATTGTACTTGTTTGTTGGAATAGTATGATCATTTTACTTAGGATTCCTTTTGTAAGCAAAAAAGTAAAATCTAACTTAACCTGGATTAATCAGAAAATTATGTACTTTGTATGCAAAAGCTTCTGTTTTTGCATTGAACAGGTTTCCAGCTGATGAATTTTTGACATAGAACTCCATTTAGGTTTTTACTATTTTTATGTATACATACGTGTGTGCATTAATATCTTCATTTTTGTTCTCGTCTAGTTTTCAAGTTCTTTTCTCTTTATTTTTTGTGCACCGATATCAAAATTTAGTTAAAGGGACTATTCAATTGTCTCATTCAAACTAGATATGAGTTTGCTTTGTATCTGTATTATTATGTACTAAAATACATTCCATATTCACCAATGTCGTTGGTGCAGTGATTGATGCACGTTGCACTCATCGGGTCATGGGTACAGTGAACTCTGACAAGGCAACATGGCCACCTCCATTGTTATATTACTAACACCGTTTTTATTACTAATCTGTATTAAATGAAAATTTCTAAATGTTAAAATTAGATTGAAATAATATTTTACAACAAACAGAAATTTGTAATACTTGATGTAATTAAATGTTTTATTTATTTATTTTTTAAGGATATGTTTCAAATAGTGGAATGGAAGGGCTTATGCTTTCCTTAAGTGCTCTTAATTTGACGGAAGCTGTACAGCATGCCATTCCGAAAGATACTCTAGCAGAAATCTATATCATGATGTCATTAAGAATTAAAGAGAATCTTTCTCAAAGATTCCATTTTCTGGCAGTAAGTAAAATTTTAGAAGTTATATATATGTATATAACTTCTTATATTATATATAATTGATGATTTAAGATTATTTTCTTAATATAAATACAGTGGAACCTCGGTGTAAAGTACTATATTATTTTTCCGACTTTCCAACGATTATCGACACTACTGTGTGCCGGAAATAGCCGTTCCCTAACGGGTACTTTACGCGGATTCGCGTTAGTGTGCCAGGCCTGGACTTTAAGCGTGCACCGAATTAAATAATGACAAAGTTTGTCAATAACAAAATCAAATATTTAATTAAACTTCTA